CGCTGTCACGGGCCCCTCGCAGCGCCCGCGCGGTCCGCCGGAGGCTGGAGAGGAGCTCGTGCAGCCGCACCCCGCGGAGCCCGTCACGCCGCACCGCGGCCGCCTCGACGACCGTCCGGAAGAGCCACTCCTTGGCGAGTTTGTGCCGGAAAAGACTCAGCTCCAGGGCGTGGTCGCAGAGCAGGCGGTAGACATGGACGGGGCGGGTCTGGCCGTAGCGGTAGGCCCGCCCGATCGCCTGGCGGTCGTCGCTGGGGTTGAAGCTGGTGTCAAGGAGGAGGACGCGGGTCGCGGCGGGGAGGGTCACCCCGACCCCTCCGGCCTTCATGCTCATTAAGAAGAGGTCCATCGCGTCGGTGGTGTTGAAGGCGGTGATCATGGCGTCGCGCTGCGCGGTGGTGTGGCTCCCATCTAGGCGGCAGTAACGAATGCGATGCCGCGGCGTCGCCCCTTCGCCGACACTCACTGGGGTGGGACCAGGCGAGGAGGGGAGGACGTCCATCCCCCTCTCGTTCACCTGTTTAATGAACACCTCGAAGAGGTCTAGTAGCTTGGTTGACAGGCTGAACAACACACATTTCTCCCCAAGCCGCATCGCTTCCAGGATGATGCAGAGGGCGACGTGCATTTTACTGCCATCCTCGAGCCGCAAGACGTAGCCCGGTGGGGGCTTGCAAAGCCGGGCGTAAGAGAGGGGCTGGTAGAAGCTAGAAGGGGTCGAGTAAAGGTGCTCCACAGAAGCCTCACTGTTGAACAGATCGTCGTCGTCGCCAGCGCGCCTATCGCCTTCCGTGAATTGTGTATCACCCCACGCTTGAGTTCGTCTCCTTCTCTGGATAGAATCCGGAAGAGCCGCACCAGCGGTGTATCGCCCAGCTTCTCGAATTTGGGAAACCCTTCGACTTCGCAGCTCTGCTTCTCGCTCGTAGAGGTCAAACGCGAGCTGGGGGTGAGCGGCAATCTTTCCAGAAAGAGAGACCGCCGGCAGGAGATGGAAGTCGCTGCCCCTATTCTTAAGAACCACCTGCAGAAAGCGCTGGTAGTACTCACACTGAAGATCGGTCATGGGAACGACGACAACATACTCATGCAGAGGGGGAAGCTCTTCCTTTAACGGTGTGCAATCCACCCGCTGGATGAAATGCTTGGTCTCATTCGCCAATACGAAAATTGCCTTCCGAGCGAGGTCCACTTCTCGCTTGGAGGCGCTATGACTCACGCTGGACTCGATCGGATTCACAAAGTAGTGGTTGAAGTGTTGCCGATCCAGATAGCGACACATCGCGAAGTTCACCATCGCCCAGTACTCATCCAGGTGATTTTGCAAAGGAGTGCCGGTGAGCAACAGGCGGCGAAGCGGATGCAGGCTGGAAAGTGCGGCGACAATTTTCAAATGAACCGACTTTAGGCGGTGGGCTTCATCGCAGACGACGAGCTCGGTAAAGGGATCTTCTTCCGACATCAGGCGCCCCTCCCCAACCACCTCCACAATGCGAGAAAGCGCCTCGTAGCCGATCAAAAGCACGCCCCCTTCGCGACGCCAGTCGTGGAAAGTTCGTATCCGCTGCGGCAGCCGCGAACTGCCGCTGTCGATGAGCGTCGGCGAGAGCCTCTGCGCGGCGGGAAAGTAGGCCGACCACGTCGCGAACTCCGCCACCCACGTCGGAAGGGTGGATTTAGGAACCACAATAAGAATACGCGGCCGGCTGGAAACTCGAACGAAGGGCTCCTCATCCCTTGCGTGTTTCATGGCAACCCCGCCGAAAGCGGCGTTGAAAAGGTGGGTAAAAATCACAACCTGCGCGGTTTTGCCGAGCCCCATGGTATGCGCTAGGATACACCCCACCGAGGGCACCTGGCCGACAGGACCTTCCACGAGAAGACTCCACAAAAAGCGAAGGCCCCCGATTTGATGCTCCCGCAACGTCCGCGGTGGAGTCGTGTTGGGTTGAGGGGGTATGGCAGGGAGATTGTGGTAAAAACTCGACCGCGGTACGAGCGCGGCGGGGATCAGAACATCCTCCCCACCCCCTTCCTCCTCACCATTACACCAGTTTGAGATATTGACGATCCGCGCAAGGCGATCCTGACGGCGAAGACGCCCCCACCCCATCTCCGTCGTTGAATCCGATGGTTCGTTGCCTTCCGGGATCGGTTTGGTGTCGCCGTTGTCGGTTTCCGCAGCCACCTGCCGTTCCGCACCCTGAAAGACCTTAAAATGGTTCTCCTTGCGGGTAAAAAAGGGCTCTAATCGATTTCGCACCTCGACGGTGGCCATGGTGAGCAGTTCCCTGAGCGGTAATGGCGGCGGGGAAGTTTGGGGTTTAGGCATGGCCACAGGGGAACCTCCTGCATAGCAGCGGAAGTCCTCCGGATGCGGGTAGGCGCCCTTCTTGAGGCCGACAGGAAGCGAATCGTTCGTTTCATCCGCCTTAATAAGAAGATCGAGGGCGGAGGAACTGCTAACTTTCGACGTTTCCTCAGTCCCCCGGGGATCGGGTTCCCAAAAGAGAACGTTTTCGACCGTAGGGCTGTAGTATGGGGAGGAGCTCGGCGTATCGGAAGGATTGAACCCAATGTCATCATCAACACGAACGCCTTCATCATTAAAAATGTCTTCGGTGGATGCATTCCTAGATGTCATGCCGCGCCACATTTGTCGAGGTTCCTGAAAAGGGAAGTGTGTTTCCTCAATGTCCTCCGCATCCGAAGATGGAACAAAGAAAATCTCTTCACTATGATTTGTATTAGATCCATTAAGTGCTTGATTATTATCACCCCACATTCTGTCAATCTGAAAAGAAAAGCAATTATTAGTAAGAGCACCACACAATATTTGTCAAAATCATCAGCTAAAGGTACTTGTTAATTGAAAAGAATCTTAATAAAGTAATTAAAGCTCTTTGAAGCTCGAATACTTCTTGATGTCGAACATTCCGCCGAGTATTGAATAAGTGGGATTCGAATATTATCCTTATCAGCGTTTCATAACTCCATAAAGAATGGATAGCCCCTCCAAAAAAAGGAGTGACGAAACACTTCACATTCTCCCCCTTCTCTCCTTTTCCAGAACGAAGGAGCACTAAATGGGGAGACAAAGAATAAAAGCCTTTGGACAACACTCAAAGTAATAAAAAAAGAACCAAGGACAGAGTTCGATACGCAAACACAAAATTTTTCTACAGGAGGCGCACCGCTACTTCACCAGACAATGGTATTCCCAAAAGATATCGCGTGATAGCCATTCGCTGCGCTCGACGGAAAGACCTCCTCGTCACAACTAAAGGGGCTCGTATCCAGAAACGTAAAGGCATCGATCGCTAAACCGACATAAATCCGGCCGATATGAGGTGCTTTAAATCCCGAATCTACCCCATCCGGTTCCGCAGGATCGACATCAACACCATTTAGGGTGATATCAAACCGAAGCTCCGTCGTCGCGTCGATGCAGTTCGCGGCGAGATCGGATGGCAATTCCACCGCTGCATAATCCGTGAAATTCGCTACCGCCGCCTCGTCGCGGCTGCAACGTGGTAGCAATCGGACCCACCCGTTTTGCTCACCTGTTGAGGAGGTATTCCTTTCCACCGCGCTTTTCTTTTCGAGCGTTGGGGGTGGCGTGATTGTCGGGTGAAAAATTTGAGTATAGCGGCTGGATAGCTCGATGCAAGAGTGTTTCCCACCGCCCAGGTGTCGGCGAGCTACACGAACTCGTCGAATCACCATCTCCTGCACCCCGAGATTAATAAACCGAAATGACAGCACCACAAGAGATTTACTCGGATTCTCCACATCAGATGACTCATCGTCTTCTCCATGCGCTTTCGCTAAACGCGAGGATATGACGTATTGTAAATAAGGGAGAACACGAACGGCGTTGAAGTGATTCGCGAACACAATATTACACCTAGGATTCGATCTCAGCGATGCCAAATCGGATTCAGGATGGTCTAGATGAGATTGCCAATATTCCAAGCTCTGCTTAACATCCTCTTCCTGCGAGCTTCGATCAAGAATGATGAGGGTTCTCGTGGGCCTATTCTTTTTCACAGTGGTGTAGCTTGATTCACCATCCTGAACTTTAACAACGACATCGCTAGTGGAGTTCTTTTCCGCGCCTGATTCTTCCGTTTGGATTGAGGTGTTAGCGAACTCGTCTACTTTCAATCCTTCGCCAACCCCATCCTGCTCGCTATAAAGGACGGTTCCAGCAATCCCTTCTTTTAGAAGCCGCGCTGGGAAGTAGTTAGTGAGTCCTTCGCAGAACTTTCGATTCTCGATATCACGAAGAAGTCGATCCAGGCGTGAGTGATCCTGCAAAGCGGGTTCTCTTCCAGCTTGCGTGGTCGGAAGCTCCGCGATCGTTGGTGGATGTGCGGGTAAAAGGGAGGCCGCGAATGGATTCCTCAACCCCCTCAACGGCGCGATCCCCGACATCCCACCTTCATCGTTACCGCCACTCATTAAAGAGTTGGAATAGGATGAAAAAATCCTCCGTAACGCCTCCGCATCTGGCGCGGTGGCGATAAAAGATGGATGAAGCCCCCACTGCGCTTGCTGTGCGGCCGCGATCCAGCACGCCTCGTCTGAGAAAGCTGGTCTTTGATTATAAATGCTCTCAAGTTCCTTTTTTTCCCGGTTTTCAGATGGATACACATCCCGACATTTCATTTCAACAACGTAGTTCGGGAAGTTTCGTGGCTGCTTTTCGAGAGCGCCGTCATCCGCGACGCGGCGGATCGCTCGGTTGGTGTAGAGCGCGCGCAACTTTTCCAGCGCCACCGCCGGATGCAACCGCGCGGAAGACGACGAAATGGTGGGATTCAAAGCCTCCGGGTTTGACATGTAGGCCTCATTCATCCGCGCGATCTCGTCAAAGACCCGTGTTTCTTCCTCCACCTCCGTTTCCGTCAACCCGTGATGTGGGGAGGGGGCGGCCTCGCGCACGCGTGAAGGGGGGGGTTGCTGGCGAGGAGGCCGCCGAAGCTCCACGTAGCGATCCCACGCGATGGTGGAGAAACTCACGGACGTCAGACCCTCCAACGAAGTCGTTTTGGGGGGGAACAAAGTCGACCGACCGTACGCGCGACGGATGCGTTCGTTTGCCGCACGATGGGCGATTCGCCATCCTCGCAAAGGCGCGGCGCGCGTCGCCGTGAGCTCGTCCAAGTAGCGATTCACCTCCTCGAGGGATTCGAAATCCGTGCAGCCCTGCCACCGGCAGTACGCGCACCCCACGCGATACCGCATCCCCGGCGTGATCTCCACGCGAACCCCCCACCCCCCGGGCGGGCGCCACGCCAGCCGTGCGGCATCCTTTTCCCGCGTGGCGTGAAAATCCGCCGTTCCGCTCCCGATTTCGTGGATTTTGTTAAAAATCCCCCCCCGCTCCCACTCCCTCTCGTCGTCGGTTT